GAACCTGGGACCCTTCAGTCGCAGGCTGACGCTCTATCCACTGAGCCAATCCAGTTAGGGCTATGTTGATATATTTAAACTTCTGAAAGAATAGATGCTCTTTTAGGAAATATCAGTTACCAAACTTGATGAAAGAAGAAGAAACCTAAATGAAGTAATTAATGTGAGAAAATTTTTCAACATTTGTCAAAGAAATATGCCATCCCTAAAACACTAGGCCAAGGGGGCACTAAAAATTAGTTCTCTGACCTTCAGAGACTAGAAAATTCTTGCTACATCTAATGTGTTTCAGAGCACAGATAAAAACAGAAGACTTTCCAGTTCATTTCACTAAGTTAACTTAACCACAGGTATCAGCCAGCTCCTCAGTAGAAAAGTGATGTCACACTCACATTAGGAACTTTAAGTGTTTAGTACAGGTGTGGGGAGGGTGGTACTGCAGTCCTGTTACCAACTTGAAGGGGCAGAGGGAAGGGTAGTTGTCAGAACCTAGTGGGAGGCCTGACTGGAGCTGGGATATTTGCTCGAGGGTCCCAGACAGATTCCCTCGACTGTTCAGGGAAGGGCTGGGAGAATGAAATGCTCTCACCTCATTTTCCTTCCACCCTTCAGTTTTCTTCCTGGGTCCCTCATTGGCCAAACCCAACTGGAAGCCGTATGGTCTATGTAGCCAACCTCCGAGGGCAGAGAGCAGGTGAAAGATGGAGGTGTCTCTAAAGGGGCAAATGGAGGTCATAGGTACACCATGGTGCCACAATGTCTGGGTACAACATGAAAAGGATTGCACAAAGAATATAAGCAGAGAGCAATCTAACCTCTGAATACAGATGCAAAAATATTGAAATAGAATATTAGCAAATTGAATTCAGAACTTTATTATGATACTAAATAATGCTTTGGTAAATAACAAATAATGGTTTGGTATTTTATTGGGTATTTTTCCAATTGTTCATGTTTTAAGGAACGTTTCCACAACTTTCTCCCCTCCTCATTCTCTTCTTCTCGAGGGAGGAGAAATGACTTACTTGAATGGTGAGTGTTGAAGAGGATGCCGGGCCTGCTGGATCTCTTGGGAGCCAGGCTGTGCTCAGATGCAAGCTTCCTCGGCTTCTCAACAGGATAACATCACAGGGAGCACCTCCAGGCTTCAGCCCGCCAGTGACCAGGGGGCCAAATTGTTAAATTCAGAAGATCAAGCCCATTTGGTTGTCTAGTCCACATCATCCAATCCAGGTTTGTTTGTTGTTGTTGTTGTTTTAATCAGTAATCAATCTAATATATATGTTCATCTGATTCCTATGTCTTTTATTCATTCTGTACTTGGGAAGAGAAAAATGAACATGTTAATTTATTGGCCTTTAAGAATGCCAATACCACTTACCTCTACTAATCCCTCGTGCAGACACTGCCACCGTCATGACCATCAAACAGCCATACAGCCACAGGACTCTATAAATATGCCTTCTGGGTAGGGAAGAACCAGGAGAACAAAGAATTCACTGATTTTTGAGCTCTGAAAAGCCTTTATAAAGATGCCTCAAATACAGATTTAAAAGCCATGGCTCTTCAGCAAAAAAGAACAAAGCTTCGACTTCTTAGAAACGTGGCTGTGAGTAGAGGAATCAGACATGAAATGTATACTATCTATTGGAGTGTGGGAAGGATTGGCAATGAAATAAGAGTCTTTTCTCTGCCCAGAATGAGGAAAGCCATCAAACATAGGTAAGAAAGGAAGAATAAGAAGCTATTTGAAGTTGGAGGTGACGTTAAAAAATAGAAATTCTTGACGAATCTTAGAGGAGGAGATTCCCAGAGCTGAAGGAGGATGCCAGAGCAGAAGAAGCATTTTCAGGCCCCAAATGGAGTCACTTATGCTAAGTCCCTAATCAACAAATGAAGACCAAATTACAGTTTTGGGTCTCCCAGAAATGGAACCTTAAGCCAGTTGGTCAGGAATAGCGTGTCCAGCACTAGTGAGGTCATCTGCCATGGAGACCCACTTTTTTTGCCAGTATAACTTCATGTTCTGTTCCCTTCTGCATATAACTATCTTTCACTTTGTACAGCTCCTCAGAGCTCTTATCTTTAGATGGGATGCTACCTGATTCATAAAGTATTGAACAAAATCAATAAGATCTTTAAAACTTGTTCAGTTGAATTTTGTTCTTTTTAACAGGTCAAAGTCCAGATGGATATGAGGGTGGCCTTGCAGCTTCCTTGAGGGAAAGCAGCCCAGAATTCCCTGCCTCCACCCCCTTGTGAAAATACCAAATATTTGGAAGACTGAGCATTCTATGGAACACACCCTGAGATTTTCTGCTGTGCTTAGTTCCTGGATCTCAGGCTTAAACTGGGGCAAAAGGGTGACCTGATTACCATTATCCTATCTAATAAAAGAGTAATATGCAAATTAACCATCACTCTGACACAAAGATGGTGGCACCCATAGCCCTGCTGGAGTCCTCCACTCCTGGGGGGAGGGGGGGCGCTGAGAACAGGGCCTGCTTGGCTGTCGCCATAGCTACCTGGGAGTGGCCAAGTGAGCCCCACAGACCGCGCACTGACACAAAGATGGTGGCACCCATAGCCCTGCTGGAGTCCTCCACTCCTCGGGGGGGAGGGGGGGACGCTGAGAACAGGGCCTGCTTGGCTGTCACCATGGCAACCTGGGAGCAGCCAAGCAGGCCCCACAGACAGCTCACAGAAAGGCCTGCTTGACCCGGGAGCGACCAAGCGGGCCCCACAGACAGCAGAGAACTACAGGGATTGGGCCTAAGCCGTCAGTAGGACATCCCCTGAGGGCTCCCAAATTGGAGAGGGTGCAGGTTGGGCTGGGGGTCTTCCCCACCCCCTGTGCATGAATTTCGTGCTCCGGGCCTCTAGTCCTATATAATAAAGAGCTAATATGCTAATTAGACCAAACAGCAGAATGACCATCCGGATGACCTTCTGGATGAAACTGGGGCTTCCAGGGCTGAGCCCCTTGCACGAATTTTGTGCATCAGGCCTCTAGCCATCTATAAATACCCTTTGGACAGTATCTGATCAACAGCCCACAGATGCTGTAAGCTGGCTGCACTTTCTTCTTTTGGGGGCCAGGTGGATTGCAACTGCATCTGTCAGAGGCCAGAGGCTCTTGTGTTCTCCAATAGCCTGGCTCTATTTCTCAGGTCTTTCCTGTCCCGGGAAGCTCCACAGTGCTGCACTGCAAGAAAGATGTGTCCTTGGTGGTTCTAAAGGGCCTGCTGTACCAGAAGAAGGAAGGAAAGGGGTGAGTGGTAAGAATGAGGACACACAAACATACTAAATCTTTCAAAATACTTGCTCATTGCAGCACTGAATTGGAGTTATTTGGAGATGAGAAAAGTGGTGTCACAAGAGGTTACAAAATTCGCCCAGGAAAACAATGCTATGAAGTGGCAGAAAGGGCATTCACACACAGATGTTATGCTTCCCTGCTGGGCGCATCCTCCCTCCACTCCACCTCGCTGGGCTGCGGGGAGGGCTTACAGCACTTTGAATGTCAATGAACTTTTAATGAGGTCTTAATCAAGGGCTTCATTACTTGGACTCTCGGGGAGCCTTCAGGAGACAAAAGCTGGTTTTCACACCAAGAGGGCTTGGGAGAGCTCACAGGTTCTGATCTTTCAAGGACATCACTGTCAGCTTTTCACCCCTTTGCTCCCACTGCCCCAAGACCTGGGCACAAACAAAAGGAAACCCTCAGATCTACTTTGCATGAGCTCTGGACTGCCCTTGGCCTTGGTGCTAATGAAGTAACTTAACAAATCCCCTCTGAAAAGTTGCATTGCATTTGCATACGTTCAGTTGCTCCCAGTGTCCCTACTTCCTAAGACTGATGTGACCCTCATAAAACCACAGGAAGCCACATTTGTCTCCCTCTTTTCCTCCCCCCTCTTTCTTACCCCAGCTAGACTTGTCCTGCTCCTTGAAGCCTATCTAATAACAAAGTTCAGCCCCTGGCAGATTTTTTATACAACTGAAAGGCAAAGATCCATATGCCTTTATTTAGAGCTGCTAACTGAGTTTGAAAATCCCAGCTTGACCTCATTTCTTTCTGTACATTTCCCCTCAAAGACCCAGAGGTGGATACACTCACAATTGATTGAGCTGCTGCTAGATTAATGAGCGTTCCCAGTAAGCTCCTGGTTTCAATCGGTTTACCGAATGGTGTTGATCTGTCATAAGCATTATGTCTGGATACCAAGATCAGACTCGAGGAAAATGGTGTATTTTACACTCATTTGTATTGTAGATGAAAAGGGGACACATGCTAACCCGCGGCCTTGCAAACTCAGAGACCTAAAGTAACCACAAAGGATGGTCTGAAATTAAAACCTTTTAATTAAAAAGGAGTTTATAATGGGTAATCATGTCCTAGGCCAGTATCTTCCCTGACAAAGATCAACTTTGTCTTTACTGAGCCTATTGTCTTTTTGCATCTAAGATAATATACCTGTGGAATGTCAGGGTAACTGTTACTTCATTTTTTCCAGACCCCTCAGGGCACAACTAATGGCACCAGAGCTCAGACCACAGATTCCCTCATTGTTATTGTTATCTGTTAATTGTTGACTGTTAACTGTCCTACATCCAGCAATGCAAAAGAAGCATGTGTTTATCATTTTACTTTTTATCCAATCTCAGAAGTTTCCTCACTTTGCTTTCTCCCTCCTCCCTAATCTATCACCAATGGATTTCATGTAACCCACTTACATCTCCTCCTTTGATGGTAATTTATAAAAATAGGTGAAAAACCACCATACTCCGGAGCATTGTCTCAATACATTGAGAGTCTGCTTTCTGGCAATTGTTGACAGTTTGGCTCAAATAAACTCACGAAAATTCTTTATAGGTTTGAATGTTTCTTATGTTAACAGTATCTGCTACTTTGAACATGGAGCCCCAAGAGAGCAGATTCTGAGTACATAATGCTCAACTAGAATGAGCTAGACATCCTCCTATTTCACTCCCTGGAGGATTTGTGAGCAGTGATATGCTAGAAACATGAAAATGTTCATAAGAGAAAGGCCTTTGGAGGGAGCATGGGGGAGATTAAGAACACCTACTTATTGGAAGGATAGTAGAAAGCAGTTAAAAAATAAGAAGAATGGTTCCAGCGCATTCTCTTTCCTGCTTCATTTCTATTAACATTAGGGGCTCAATTCAGCATCAGCCAGAAAATGACAGAGAAATGATCACCTTCTGAGATCACGCTATGTCTGTTTCCTCTAGATCAGTGGTTCCTAACATGGGGCACACACCCCACAGGGAGGCAATTAGATTTTTAAGGGGGGAAATTAGAGAATGAGTTCCTGACAGTGAATTTTTTGCATTTCTTATGGTTCTAGGGGCCTCATATAGTATATAAATATATATTGTGACATATTTATGCATTTCAGTTCTCTGTTATATGTTCTGAAACTTAATTTGCTATTTCTTCATCTCACTTCATATTTACTATTATTTTTTAAAACAATTTCTTCCTCAGTACTTCAACTGTCCTTTCGTTCTTTTATTTTTCTCTTTCATGGATGCCATGTTCTTTGGAAGCTTGTTTAGACCAAGTTAATGGCCTTATAGGCTTCCTCCACTTGAATAGGAGTTCACTTTTTTAATAATAAGAATTATACTTCCCGGGGGGAGGGGGGGGGCATTGAGATTTTAGAGCTGCTTAAGTGGGCCAAAAAAAGGTTGGGAACCACTGCTCTACATGTCTCTTTCACTTTCCTCTTCTCCACCTTGTTCCCAGCCACCTGAAACACAGCAGAAGGGAAGAAAAGGAAGAGTAGGTTAGCATATAGCTATGCTGCGGGTGGAAATGAGGTCCTTTCACAGTACCCATGTATGGGAGGCTGTGGTGCAGTGGGAAGGTTTATTGGAGCTGGAACAAACACAAGCAACAGTCCCAGGTTCAGCTCAAGGTGTCTTATTTCCATCGATCGCACAGTGAGAGTTCATCCTTGTCTTGATCAGGCCCAGAAATAGGGCCAGTGTCCAGATGTTTTATGCCATTGGTTCAGTCCATGTCTTTGTCTGCATCTGGCTAGCTTACTCTATGTTAGGACTGTAGGGCAATACAATTCTTAAAGACCATTGGTAAGCTTTCTGCCACAGGAGAACAAAAGACCAGGAAAAACTTGCTGGATACAAGGAACTGAAACTGTCCTGAAGACACCTGACCACACACATGCATTCCATCCGATTCCAAACCCACCAGATCAGCCCCCACTGAAGACAAGAGCTTCCCGCCAGCTCATGGGGGCTGCCATCTTTGACCCCATGTCCCCTTGGCTCGGTGCTGTGCAGCCCTTCCCTTTGGGTATCCCACCCCCCAGTCCCTTTCCTTAGATAAATTCAATTTTTCTTCACCCACTGTCTGAGACGGCTACTTAGCCTGCCTGCACACCATCCACCATGTCTACCTTTCAGTCTGTGTTCCTGGTTCTGCTCCGACTGGGGCTGTGCCCTGCCCCTGCAATCTGCCATGGGTCCAGGCAGCTGCCAGGGACACATGGCTGCTCTGTAGAGAAAATGTGGGAACAAATGGGGTGCATGTGTGTTACTGAGCGTGCTCCCACGATAGAGGGAGAGAGAGATATAGACAGACAGATGGAAAGTGCTCTTTGTTAAGCTTGGGTTATATGATCTGGACTTGGGAAGAACCAGCAACTCTTTCAGACTAATTAATCAGCTTCCCATTCTTTTGCAGGCTGGCATTGGATCCTTCCCCTAACCGATCCATTTCCTAGATCTTCCCGAGTTCTGTATCCCTTACCCAATCTGATCCTTTTTCCAGACTAGACACTCCATCTTATGGTCACCATCTCAGTTCCTACTTGTGCATGCCTCAGAGTGGAAGTGCTTCCCCCTGTGCCATCACTAGACACTTCATCTTATGGTCACCATCTCAGTTCCTACTGCGCATGCCTCAGAGTGGAAGTGCTTCCCCCTGTGCCATCTTGACTTCTACTGGGCATGTACCCAGCAGAGGAACTTCCCTTTATTGTTTTGCTCCTCCCCCAGTAATCTGTGGGGAGATTGGAAATCTGGTCCTCTCTCCCTACATGGGGTGTGGGAGGGGGGCTGGTAAGGGGGTGGCAGACGGCTGTTAATCCCCTTGGTGGGAAATGCTGCAACCTCCTAGGAAAGCAGGCTTATTATCTCACTCAACTCCCTAGTTGATTAGGCTTCTTATGTCTGATTCCCTTTGCTCCCCCCTTTATTAATAACTAGCTACTTACACCAACAGCTATACATGTATCATAAATGAATAAACACTAAGTTTTTTGTTTCTGCCAGTCCTTTCTGAGCCTTGGTTTTTCCTGGCCACATCATGTGAATGGGATAGGTACAGAGC